ATAATTCAGGACTCGGTTCGATAAAACAAACAAATAATGGATATAACTAGTTATATATACAATAATACACACTATAATATTTATAAGCATAAATAAACATTTAAACAATTAAAAGCAATTTTATATATTTAATAGCATTTAGGCGTTTAATAATAATAATAATAATAATAATAATAATAATAATAATAATAATAATGAAATAAATAATATTAATCCCAAATATTATTCATAAACGAACGGGGCATTATACCACATCCGTCACGTCTGCTCACCCGGCACGTTGGACTCCGTTACCTAAAAAAATAAAGTAGTGGGGGCGAGCACAAAGAACTCAACGGTGCTCCGCAGAAATCAGTATTGAATAAGACAACATCAATAATGATAATATCATGACTTAAATATGTAGGAGCTGAAATGTAAACTTTTCTTTTAACTTTGGTCAAAAGACCTTTCGACCCTCGGCCGCTCATGTGCACACCCCGATTTGGACATGAAGGCCCACTCAGCCTTCATCGGGACCCAGGTGGAACATTAAGGCCCGCTTAGCCTCCAATCTTGGGAGATATAACTTTCTCGTATATACCTCAGACATGGTAGAGTAATTAAAGACGATGTAGAACCCAATACATGACCCCCACCTGATAAGCTTGGAAAAATATGCAAGTGATGTGAATGCTCGTAGTTGACGGAGGCTCGACTCTCCTCAAGCTACCAAAGTATTCAAGCAAATATATCATACTTAGATAATACTAATTGAGGGATAATCAATCAAGTCCAAGCATGCTAACTTATTTTAACAAAATAAGCTAAGGGAACTCTTCAAATTTCATAATTTTTATAGAATCACATGTAACTCCAAAAATTCTGAAACTTAGCAATTATATACTTCACTTACTCATGCATTTCTAGTTAAAATCAGCTCATTTGCATGTCATTAGGTCGATCAACCATTAACTTCAAATTTACACTTAAACATGCATATTTTCCATACTCATAAAATTTTCACATCATTTGCATGATTGTGGAATGAAAAAACCCGAAACCAAAATCACATTTACATGTTGCAGCCTTAACAATTTTAATTCACTCAATTCATATTATAATTGGCTGAAAATGGACATGCACACTCTCAACATATATATAGGGTCTTCATAAAAGTTTAACATTGAAATCATGCTCCTAGGCTGAGATAATCGAGTTCAAAGACGCAATGAACAAGGCATTAAAAACTAGATTTGCATGTATAACTTTAAAAAATCTTGAGTTATACTTGACCAAATGACATGATTCTTTCACATATAGGCTCAACACTTCCACAAAAAATAGCCATAATAACTTCAACATAGCAGGTTATTCATAGCATGCTCAAATTTGAATAGAAACATCAACTAAAAAGCATGCATGCGAATCGGGTGTAACTTGTTATTTCATTGCATGTTTATACACACTTAAGGGCTGGAACTTTAGCACATTATAACACATACTAAATCACCTTAACTCAGATATAAAAATCATGCTAAAAGATAGTTTTCTTACCTCCTTCAAGTAATAAGAAAAACAAAGAGAAGAAGGGGGTGCTTGATTCTCGGCTTTGTTTGAACTTGGGGGAAACTGCTTCCGCTTTTGCTTGCTTCCTTGGGACTTGGTGCTTCTAAACTCTTACTTGGTGAATAGAAGATGAGAGTGAAAGGTTAATATGTTGATGCTATCAAGTATGGCCGGCTAGAACTCAGAATCACTCCGTGCACGCACTTGAAAGCTCTCGGCGGCACAAGGCCTTTATTCTCGGCTTTAGCTCTTGGTTGGGGAGTTTGGAGGAGTTTTTGCTGGTTTTGCTAAGGGCTAAAATGAGGGACATCTCAGCTGAAAAGAGGACTTAATAAGTGGCTCAAAGGGGCGATAATTTCTATGCAAGGGAATGGGGACAAGGGGAATTAACCCTTCCCAGGGTTTGGCATGACATGTTGTAGCTTGGTCTGATCCTTGCATGGGAAATGCAACTAAAAGAGCACCAAGGGGTTGACCAAAGCTCTGGCCGTGCATAGGGTAATGGAGGAGACAAGGTCTTACAACAACCCATTATAATATTTAAGCCCATCCTAGCTCAAGAATAAAGAATGGTGCTAATCTAGCTTAACCTTAACCAACTCAAATAATACTAGATTAGGCTATTGAGGGCACTTAATTACCTCTACACACACGCATGAACTAGGTATAAGGGAAAGAAATGGCTAAGGTCTCAAATGGTTTGACTATGTCTCGGTTCGAATGGGGCCGGCGTGCAGGGCCTTCTCCAGAAATTTGGAGGCCCCAAACATTTTTTTTCAAGAGAGGCCCGTAATCGTATTTTTTGTTAACTGAACAAATACTAATAAACAATGTCAATAATAAACAAAAAAAAAAAACGACAAATATGAGAAAATTTAATAAATTAGAATACATAAACTTACAACCTTCTCGACTTCTTTTGTACAAAATTATAAATCAAGTCACCATAGTCATGTTTTGCAACCATTCATTGAACAATTCAAGTGGAGCAAATAATTAAATTTGTATTAGCATAATTGAACAATTGAGGTTGGACAAATAATCAATTTCGAATCATTGTTGCTTGAATGCTCCAAAACTAATGTATTTTATTTGAGAAGATAAGATGACCATGATACCTCATTCTCAATTAAAAAAGTTAGAAAAAGAGATTAATCATTAATATATTCAAATTGATCCAAATTTTCAAGACTTCGACCAGATGGAATACTGAAAATATATCATAATTTTAAATCTCCTTGACTGTTGCAAACATATCAAAGCATAATAATCAAATTCAAGAGACACAAAGTCGCAGTCTCACAGACATGAAAATATTTAAAAAATAGAAAATGTTCCTACCCGATTGATTGAGAAGCACAACGGCGGGCCAGCAGCAGCGACGCGTGAGACGGTTGTGGTGAAGGCGGAGCGCGGAGGGCGCTAGCCGTCGAGCGACCAAATTGTCGAGTCCTCGGCAAAATTTGCAAAATTTGGGTTTGGTTGTGTTAGAGCAATTGTGTAATGCAAGTCTCGGGCATAAAATCCTCTTAAATTTGTTTATGTAAATGAATTGGGTCAGGCCCGACATATATGTATAATATATATAAAAAAAAAACTATGTATGAGGCCCCCAAAAAAAGGAGGCCCTAGGCTGAAGCCTTTGTTGCCTGGCCCAAAAGCCGGCTATGCCGGCGTGTGCGAGCGCGCGGATAGGCGCTCGGCTAGGGCTCGACAAGGACTCACGCTCGTTCTCAGAGATTCAACACGAACGAACAATAACAAACAATCTAATTTACATAACTGACATACACAAACATATATAAGGCAATCAAACACATAATCACATAAATCACATAATAACACAAAGTCGAACAACTCGGAAAAATTCGAATACTACCGATTTCACTTTAAAGTCAAGCAAGTGAAACGGTTCTCATTTACTAACTGAACGGGGCGTTACAAAAGCCGCCAAAGTACTTGAGCTTGAGAATAATGTCATACATAGTTGCTTTACACAACTAGTCTAAGAGTTCCTAATTAAAAAGATTAAATTGGAGTTTAAGCATCATCATCAATTATCTTTTTTGTCAATTCCCCTAAGGGGCCTCGGTAGATCTACAACGTCATACTGCATAAAGTCTCGGGGTCGACAGGCAGAACCTGCGAGGTAGTTGGCTGCACTGTTCCCCTCCCGGAAAATGTGGGGAGGCTAACGTCTAGGGTGCCAGTAAAAGTTTTGATCTTCTGAATGACGTCTCTTTCCTAGCAAACGTACATTCTTAGAATCAATCTTCTTAGACCTCAATTTTTCTTCAACATCTATCATCATATTACCCACATGTTCAAACTTGAGACTATGAAAACCCTTACATTTATTCATATGACGGGTAAGAGTTGAAGTACTGTAGTTAGAACCATTTTAAGCATAATCCTTAAAGCAAGATTTGCATTTCACCCTACCATTAACAGGCTTTTCAAAACTAGCTCATACCATAGATCTATTTGCTCTAGCCCTTTTTGATGATTTTTCGACGGCCCCCGTATTGTGTTGAGAAGTAGAATCCGGTATCTTCTCCAACTCATCATCATTAACATTATGTATAGACTGAATTTTAGGTTCTATGATTCTTAAAAATATATATATATATATATATATATTAGCAAAATTTTTGAAATTTTACCTGACGACATAAATGTTTTCTCTTCTTTTACTAACCTCGTGATTGGCAGCGGCAATTAATGGTAGAACTAAGAAGACAATATTAATTCGACTGTTGTGAAGGAGACGAGAATTGTTGGTGTTTTTTTATTCTTCGTATCCCTGCTGTAGTCACCGCCAAGGCTTGATTATTTTTTTGTATCCCTATTCCCAGCCAAGACGAGAACAATTGTGGCCTTGTGGCCCATTTTCATTATTTTTTTTTGTTTTCAAAATAAATTAGACTTGAATAGTGATAGTCGGGCCTTAAATTGACTTAAGCCCTTTTTTTTGTTCAATACTTCAATACGGCATGACCCATGGGTTGGCCCGGTAGCCCGTTTAGCCCGTGGGTTAATAGGTTTTGAGCTAAACGGGGTGGCCGATCTGGCATAAATTAGGGGGTGATTGTTTATAAAATAATTACCCACTTTTATTTCAATTCAAAATCTAACTCAACTTTAACTCAATCCTACTATCTTTAATATTATTCATATAATTAAATAATACAAACCAATCATACTTACACATCACATCAACTTTAATTCACTATTCATCCATTCACATAATTTTAACTACCTATCATTTCCAATCATTTATCTTTTACTTTTACATCAAATCAATTTTAATTATTTTATTTTAAATATTATTTTAATACATTCTTAAAATTCCACTACAACTAACCATACCATATTTTTCAAAATTAACTATAATTAACCAAAATAACTCAATTTAAAGAAATTATTTCATAGCATCTCTACTTCCCAGATCCATGTGCATTGAATCTTTAGCCCTGAAAAACACATACGACACAACAGTTGAGATGGAAGAAGAAATACAGTGGTCGTTGAAATACAGCGGTTCAGTCGTCGTACTTCACGACGCCCTCGTCATAACCATGGATTCTCAAAGTCGAGTATTTCGGAACGGGGCTGTTGCTGTTCGAGGCGACACAATTGTAGCCGTTGGCCAATCGCAGGACGTCATATCTCAGTTCTCCTCAGCTTCACCCCAACTCATTAACCTACAAGGACACATTTTACTGCCAGGCACACCCGTTTCCTGTTGTTTTTCAATTACCCTACGATTATAGTAATATCAAAACATATTTCATTGTGATGTTCGTGGGAGGATATGTTTTTAATTCTCCCTTTTTTATAGTGTAAACTAGACAGATGGTAGTTGTAATGTTTGTTTGGGTGCCTTATATTTGGATATTGTTATTTTTTTGTTGTGTGCATTTTAGATGTATAAATTGATTTGTATGTGTAGTTCAGATGACTTCTTTACCTTCCGTTTTCATCTTCTATTGGAATGGTTTAAACTCAGACTAGATTACAGTCATACTTGCCCCTTATCTGTATGGAATCATCTACGCCAGTGTTTGACTGTCTGTTTTTTCAAGATTGAATGCATCCTCGTAGGCACCTTTTTTTGTTTAGAAACAAAAGTTTGTTATCATCTAGAAACATTTACTAGGAAAAGTAACTATAGATGTCCATGGAAGTAGTATGCTTTCATGTAAATATGGTGAAGTTAATTGAAATGTTAGTTAGAATACCGAATGGTCAACTCCAACAGTGTCAGTGTTATCTATTGCGGACGACGGAAAATGGCGGCAGCCGAAAATCCCGCCATAGCGCCTGCCATTGCGGCCTATGGCGCCACCATAATCACCATCCTTCACAAATTTAGCATGACGGTTTAGCAGAAACCCGGCGCCATGCCATACTGCCATTTGACAACATTGAACAACATAAATGAAATTTGAGTTGTGAAAGATAGGCAGTCACGAAGATGTTTGATCACGATGTTTCTTAAGGATCACAAGACTATTAGAAAGTGAAGAGTTCCATGGAAGTAAATAATAATACTAATAAAAAAAAAAAAAAAAAAAGGTTCACACTTTTTCGCATATGAAGAAATACTCCACTTGTTTCAGAAGTGTTAGACTTCAACTGAAGTCCTCTTGTTAAGTGGTACCTGTTAATTTTATTATTTGAGACGCCTATAAACGATTTCTCATTTTCTAAAATGGTATTTCTGTTTTATCATTGAAAAATTATATTTCCGACTAAAGTATTTGAGCAATAGGCATGAAGTACTTGGTAAAATGTTCGTGTTCACGTTTCTTGACATAGATGAAATCATATAATGATTGGAGATTTTTTGTTTCGAACAGGTCTGATAAACACGCATGTTCACACTTCACAGCAGCTGGCGAGAGGGATAGCTGATGATGTTGACCTGCTGACATGGCTTCATGACCGCATTTGGCCTTATGAATCCAACATGACGGAGGAAGACTCTTACCTTTCCACTTTACTCTGTGGAATTGAGCTCATCCACTCAGGTGTAAGCATTGCATTTTCTGCATGAATATGTGGTAAATTAATATTTCTCCAGATGGTAGCTTGCTGTAAAAGGGATAGCATTCATCTTTACTTGTTTTTTTTAGTATTGGCAGTAAATAAGTAAACAATTGAGATCTTGTTAACTATGATAGGTCACTTGCTTTGCTGAGGCTGGAGGACAGCATGTGCCTGGAATGGCAAGGGCAATCAGACAGCTGGGAATACGTGCATGTTTGACTCAATCAGTGATGGATGCTGGGGAGGGATTGCCTGAATCATGGGCAAAAATGACTGTTGATGAGTGTATCCAGGTTGGTGCATTTCTGATTGCCTATCTTTTATATGATGATATATATAACTTAAATAACTTATGAACAAGACTTGACTATCTGCTCTCTAGAATTTGTGGTTCTACTGTGTTTGACATGAAACATAATGTTACTCTTTTTAGGTTATTTTTTGTAAAGTGGAACTCGTTTGCTAATAAATATTATCTCGTAAGGGAGGTATCTAAGATTATCTATCTTTCACAAGTTTGAATCTTCAAAAAATCTTGGTGTTCACGAATACTTTTTTGTATAATTATTTCGTATTTTCTTTTGGTTCTTTATAGCAATTTGAAGTTATTTGCAATTTGTATTATAAGATATTGGTTTATGATTTGAAGAATTCTTACGATTAAACACTGATATTTCAGGAAGCACTCTGATAAACTCTGCATGAGCACCCATATTTTATTTGGTTCCTTTGCCGAAAAAATAACATTAAGAAACATACAGACTGTAATTTCTTTGTCTGGTGCTGCATTTTTATTTGGGTTACTTTTTAAGTACCAATTAATGTCATCTGATACTTTCTTGCTAAGTGTGTTATCACAACTAATTACCTCTTTTTCCAAGGGAACAGTCCCAGAAGGATCTGTACAAGAAATACCATAATACTGCTGATGGACGCATCAGAATATGGTTCGGATTAAGGCAAATAATGAATTCAACTGATCGTTTACTTACTGAAACAAGGGATGCTGCTAAAGAACTCAGTACTGGAATTCATATGGTGGGATCACCATGTAACATATCTTTATATATACACACTTTATCTGTTCTTATTATTTTTATGTTTTACAGTATGTTAGATCCCTTGTGAAAGTCTTTAATGATGTAGTAACATGCATATAAATCTTTTTGGTTGTGTTGGATTCAAGGACAGTTTACAAACCATCTTTTTCTATTTATTGTTTTGTATATTTGAAAGCTTTATATTGGAGCCATGTTTTTGGTCACGTGCTTGAGATGATATTCAACTCAATGGTTAATAATATTTTCTGTTTTTCCCTTTTCAAAAATCTCAGCATGTTGCTGAGATACCTTATGAGAACCAACTTGTGGTGGAGAGATATGGGATTGATCATGGTACCATTACATATCTGGAGAAAATCAAGCTACTGCAAGATAATTTACTGGCAGCTCATGCAGTTTGGGTCAGCGAAAATGAGGTATGCTTCCAAGCAATTTCGATGTTGCCAACAGTAATGATTTCCAGTTCCTATTATTTGCTTATTTATTGTAAGGAGAGATATGCACTCATAATTTACTGTTGCAGTCCCTGAAGTTGTAGGGTTCAGTGTTTCACCACCAAGGTTTTTCATTTGTTTCGTCCCTCGTTCTCTTTTAATATATCTTTTTGGATGTTGGTTTGTGAATTGAGATCCAAGTGCAGCTCTCTAGGTTGAGAGCACAACTATGCGCTAGGGCAACTCTCATCTTGATTGCTGCAATTAGAGATAACAAATAGGTTGAGGCCACTGATGATAGTTGTGTTATTTCAGATTCCAAGTATCTACCTTTAAGTTTTTATGTTAATTCATGGTTCAGTTGATATTCTTTCTTCAACCTGACACTTTCTTTTTCTCTGTTTATAAATCTATAATATTATTTCTTGAAAAATGTACTTTTCTTAAGCATCTGTAGTATTATTTTTATGAAAAAACATTTTTTTTGTTCACTTTAAAAGTTGTAGTAGGGGTCAATGGATCTAACATGGACCTGATGCAGCAAGGCTGAAAAATGTGGTATGCCATCTGTAAACATCGAGGACTGATCTAGGAATTTACACCAGTAGCCGTCATCTAGAATAAAAACACATAAGAAATGGACTGCACTTAAGCATAAAAATTATTTGGATCCATGTACATGGAATGAATCTGTCTACTAGCCTCCAAGGAATGAATTATGAATTTGTCCACGTTCAAATATTTTTCATACCTCACAAATACTTATTCCTTAATGATGGTTGGGGGATAAGAATAGAGATAATTCAGGATATTTTTTTTGGGTGAAAAACTTATAACATGGAGAAAGTTAAGAGGGAAGAATTACAAACATATTTGTGTCAGTTTAAGAACAAAATCCAGCCAAATTTTGAGCCACTGAACTTCACCGACCCTGCTAATTAGGCCTAGGATTCTAAATGTAATTTCCAAATTCCAACATATGAAGGTTAATTATTTAAACTGTAAAATGGAATTTTGTAAACTGTAATTTATTATTAACCTGAAAATTCACAAATGCAACAGGTGTATATCATGCCCCATTAATAAATCTATTTTTTGGTGACCTGATCTTTGGTTTCACTTTTGTAAATAATAGTTTCTTATCAATTATATAGGAGTTGTTTTGCAGATAAAAACTAAAAAGTTTTGAATAGCTTTTAGATAACATATATATGAAGCAGGAATGAAAAGAATTTGCTGTAACCTGTCCCTTTTCATGCATTGCTCTACTTGTATTACATGTTCTTAAGCTGTGCTAAATTTGGTCCATAACTACTTTGGGTTATAACCATTTGTAAGTTGGTTTTCTTATAGACTCTAATTGCTAGAGCTTAAATTTTGTGAGTATGGACACTTATATGTAGCCTGATACTTTATAATCTCAGGTTGGTTTAATTTCACGATCGGGGGTCAAAGTATCTCATTGTCCTGCTGCTGCAATGCGTATGCTTGGATTTGCGCCAATTAGAGAAATGATTGACGCGGGTGTTTGTGTTTCTTTAGGAACAGATGGTGCACCTTCAAATAATAGGATGAGCATTGGTACCTGACATTCTCATTATCAAGATTACATATTTTAAAAAGAAAAAAAAAAAAAATGTATATGATGACTTAGTGGAAACTTCTCAAAATTTCGTGGATGAAATCAAGCAGTATGTATGTGGTTTTTACACTGAATTTGTTATTCCTGTGTTACTTGTGTAGGTATCTTTTCTGACTACTGCAAGCAAAGACTTAATAATTGTCTTGATCACATTTAATCCATAGCCTGCCTAATTAATTTTATCTTCTCTTGTTTCCATAAAATACTCCGTATTGCTTTGTAGTTGATGAGATGTACCTAGCTTCTCTCGTCAACAAAGGGCGTGAAGTTTTTGGAAAAGGAACCACAGATCCTACTGTCCTCCCTGCAGAAACAATTCTTGAAATGGCAACAATGAATGGTGCGAAATCTGTGCTCTGGGAAAAGGAAATCGGATCACTTCAAGCTGGAAAAAAGGTACAATCTTTGTTAAGCTTTCAACTCTTTTTTGCATATATCTTCTTTTTAGTTTAAATTTAGCATTACTCCAACATTATCAACACAAATTTTGTGTTAACCTAGAAAGGGAAAATAAAAGGAAAAAGAAAGGCTGCTAAATTTTAGATGCATTATTCTTTTCTGGGAGTCTTTACAATCTTTAAAAGACAGTGAATTTGAGTTATTTGTATATCTCAGTGGAACGTTCATCTTTGAAGTTTTAGATCTGAAGCCCAATGGATCTTTTACTTGCAGGCTGACATGATTGTGGTTGATCCTTCGTCTTGGTCAATGATGCCTGTTCATGATTGGTATGACTATTCAGATCCACTTCGTGAAACCCAAAGTATTAGTACAATATCCCCAAAAGCAATTCTCATCAGATCAACAATATATGCATGGATGCTTTAAATTTTCTAGTGTGTTTGGATATCAGTCCACGTCATCCCCAATTACAATTTAACTAACTTAAGCATAAATTAAGTCATAAATGGAGCACTCGAATATTTTTATTTTTACAACTAAATTTTAGAAATTACGTCGAGCAGTTTAGCCCTTTTTTTTTTTTTTTTTTTTTTTTTTTTTTTTCTCTCCTTGGTGCTTTTATTGGTGATTGGAATTGATTTCTTTTTTTACCTTTGTTTACTGCATAGAAGATAAGTTTATTTAGAGAAAGATGGTGAATTTCTGACAGAACCACATTCTCAATGTAACATGGAAGAAACTACCTTTCAGTTCGAACCGCATATATTTTTATCATCTAAGATCAGAGAGTTTGTGCGACATATCGATATTGATATTATCATTTTTCTTAGGCAGCATCATGAGCCTTCTTTTATCATCCACTTTAGGCGTGCTAAAACATTGAGCATTCCTGTTTTTCATGATTGATACCTGAATGTTTCTAAACATGAACTGACGCTTCCGGATGATTTTTGCAGCATCTCAAACCTTGTTTATAGCATTAGAACTGAAAATATTACATCTGTTATGTGCAATGGTTGCTGGATCATGGTAAATAAAAAAATCATGACCTTGAATGAGGTATGCCCCCACTATTCACTCTATTAATCAGTCTCGATCCTTGATTTTATTAGTATGATGCTGATGCAGCTATGACTGACTGACAGAAAGAAGTTATTGCTACGGCTCAGAAGGTTTCTAATGAGCTTATGAAGCGGGCAGGGATCCAAATCCCAAGCAGAATGAACTTTTTGTGATTTCGCAACATTCGACAGTTGATGACAATTTGGTAATGTTTGTGATATCTTTTCCTTGTTATGGTACTCTTTCTTGAACAAGAAAAGGTGGGCGGTGCCATGAAGAATGATCATGCTATCTGTTCTCTTGGGTTTTCTTGGATTAAATTTTTAACAACGTTTTGAAAGGCTGAGGAGGCGGCTTGGGGACTAGCGCCTATGGAGCATCGGTGGGGCTTAGACGGGGCTCATGTGGGTAGACATGGTCAAAACATAGGCCGGGTCATGGCCCGGCCTGGTCCACGGGGACTCCAGGCTCAAAAACAGGGACTCAGACTCGGCACGGTCGTATGCTCGTGCCAGTTCAAAGGCCCGATTAACCTGGCCGGGCTGGATCCTGGCCAGGTCAGAGCCGGGTCGTCATTTTTTAAAGAAAAAAATAGAATATTATTAAAAAAAATTAAAAAAGGGGCCCGGACCGGGCTTGGCCTGCCGAGTCAGGGTCATGAAAGAATGACGCTGAAACGGCCCTTCAGAAATCTGTTTCGGGCTCAGACCTGTGGTCAACATGTTTGATCGGGTTGGGCCGTGCCGGATCGTCGGGCCAGATGGCCCCTGGCCACGTCTACATGTGGGGTCATAAAGTTTTAATAAAGTTAGTTACATTTATAATCATGCATATCATATAAAATACATTCTATAAAATATCTTATGATTAAATTATATACAAAGGTTATAAAAGAAAATTTTAATACATAGCTCGTCCAATCCACATAACAGAGATCTTAAATAGGCCAAGCTCCATGGACCTGTATGTTTAGCCCACAAAACAAGAATGTTAGGATGATTTATTTTCACCTATTTAATTAGTATCATTATTAATTTATTTATTTATTGTTGACCTATGAGCTCGTTAGGGCAAGCATGTAAAGTAATCAATATATTAACTTGCTAACCGATTCATATAAATATAACTAACATTTTATAAATATATTTATATTGGCTAACCCATTCATATATGCACAACATGTCATCAATAATGACTATTATATAAAAATAAAACGAAAAAAATCACAATGAGAAAGGTGACACATTGAGGGTATATTTATGTTAGTTTACCAAATAATCCAATCAATCAACCTAATATTTTTAGGTCATTATGTATTGAAATTTAAATTTCTGTAATGAACACTTTGGATTCGCTACAGAAACAACCTCCTTGTATAATTACAAGGGTAAGGTTTGCGTACAACTGACCTCTCAGACCTCAACCAGTTGGGGATATACTGGGTATGTTGTTGTTGTTGTTGTGAACACCTTCGATTGAACAATTGTGAGAAATAAATTCTTTCCATAATAATTAGATTTTTTTTTTTTATTTGTGCTTTTATAGTTTACTTACCATACTATGCAATGGAAATGTAATTTACTATAATTTTATAATGGAAAGATATAAAAAAAATAAAATATTGATAAGTGCTTTTCCTCTTTTGGATTTTGGTATATTCAATATATTAAATAATAATAATAATGTTATATTAAATACATGAAAGAGAAAATAATAGTGATATAGCCATACTTGTGAACCAGAGTCAAGTATGAAGAGGTCCAAGCGAAACCGAGGAAAAGCAACCTGAGGAGGTCTAAACGAGACTTGAAGGTCTCGGTGACTAAGTATGAGAAGCTCCCCACGACTAAGTATGGAGAAATAGAGGTGCTCTATGTGACTAAGTATGAGAAGCTCCCCACGACTAAGTATGGGGAAGTAGAGGTGCTCTATGTGACTAAGTATGAGAAGCGTCCCACGACTAAGTATGGGGAAGTAGAGGTGCTCTATGTGGCTAAGTAAGAGAAGCTCCCCACGACTAAGTATGGGAAGTAGAGGTGCTCTATGTGACTAAGTATGAGAAGCTCCCCACGACTAAGTATGGGGAAGTAGAGGTGCTCTATGTGACTAAGTATGAGAAGCTCCCCACGACTAAGTATGGGGAAGTAGAGGTGCTCTCATCTACCAGCTAGATGTCACTTATCTCTACCTATTAGAGGTCATCTCACCTCTACTTGCTAGAGGTCATCTAGCCTCTACCTGCTAGAGGTCATCTCGTCTCGACCTACTCGACTTACTAGAGGCCTCCGCTACTAGACATCCGCTGCTAGAGGTCTCTGCTACTAGACTTCCGCTGCTAGAGGTATCCGTTACTAGACTTCTGCTACTAGACCTCCACTGCTAGAGGTCTCCGCTACTAGATGTCCCTATGACTACAAGAGAATGATCTAAAGGCAGTAAATGGATAAGAAGGAATATGATGATGATTAAGCAGTGATGGGAGACAAATCGACTGGGGTATTTCGGACATTTCGTGTAAGTCGGCCAGGGTATTTTGGGTATTTCATGTAAGTGTTTTCTCCTATATAAAGGGGCTGAGGTAACCCTAAACCCTAACTCCCATTCATTCCATACATTCTCTCTTCTGCTGCTGCTCTCTTAGAGCAGCCTCTCTCTCTCCCCCCCTCTCTCTCTCTCTCTCCCACATTCTACACACTTCTACATACATTACAGCTCTAAACTACAGAGCTTCCATCTTCCTCTCTTCTGTTTACTGACTTGGGCGTCGGAGGCCCGACACCGGGACCTCTCCCGGCGTTGGGTTCTTGCAGGTATTCACGGCGGTCTAGAAGCAATCTAGACAGATCGGAGCTCACCTCAACGGTTCACTCCAGATCTAGGAGAAGACCCATCATTTGGCGCCGTCTATGGGGAGCTCTTGAAGGAACTAAGAGCTTTGCACCTAGTTCTGATCAGTCTGAGATGGTTGAGAAAGAAAGTGTGTAGAGGAATTTGAGTGAGGAGTTGTGGGGGATTTGGAGAGGAAGGAAGCCTCTGATGCTTATCAGCCCTAATCTTGTGATTTCTGTAAAGGGGTTGCCATTGTTAGATTCTCACGCGCCGCCAGGAGCGCATATGGAAGAGGAGCTACTTTCATCTTTGAAGGGGAATAGCCAGTTATTTGCTGAAACGTGGAGCAGTATACCCTCACCAATGGAATTTGGTGAAGGGCAAAGAAAACAGGAGAAAACATTAGCTAGACACTCTAGACGACCTAGAGATGATCTTGAAACACTTCGGAGGACCTAGAGACACTTTGGGGGACCTAAAGACACTCAATACAACCCCAAGATGAGTTTGGAGCAGTCTAGATGACTTGAAACCATCCCAAGACGACTTGAGACCATTCTGGACGACCTAGAGGCATCCCAGGACGACTTGGGACCATTCTGGACGACCTAGAGGCGCCCAAGACGAGTTGGGAGCAGTCTAGGTGACTTGAAACCATCCCAGGACGACTTGGGACCATTCTGGACGACCTAGAGGCATCAAAGACGAGTTGGAAGCAGTCTAGATGACCTGAAACCATCCCAGGACGATTTGGGATCATTCTGGACTACCTAGAGGGGCTCATGACGAGTTTGGACCCCTTTGGACGACTTGGAGACCCGCCATGACGCTGAAAACGACTACAAAGTCGATTATCTCAAAACCCACCATGACTAAGGCTTTTGAAGAGCTGGGTGGTCACTTGTTTTGAAACAATCCTCGACTTGGGTTGGGCAAGTGTTTGAAATAAAACTCCACCATGACTAAGGCTTTTGAAAAGCTGGGTGGTCACTTGTTTTGAACAATCCTAGAATTGGGTTGGGCAAATGTTTGAAGTCAAAACCCACCACGACTAAGGCTTTTGAAAAGCTGGGTGGTCACTTGTTTTGAACAATCCTAGACTTGGGTTGTGCAAGTGTTTGAAGTCAAAACCCACCACGACTAAGGCTTTTGAAAAGCTGGGTGGTCACTTGTTTTGAAACAATCCTAGACTTGGGTTGGGCAAGTGTTTGAAGTCAAAACCCACCACGACTAAGGCTTTTGAAAAGCTGGGTGGTCACTTGTTTTGAAACAATCCTAGACTTGGGTTGTGCAAGTGTTTGAAGTCAAAACCCACCACGACTAAGGCTTTTGAAAAGCTGGGTGGTCACTTGTTTTGAACAATGGTTTGAGCAAGTGTTTGAAATCACAATCCACCATGTCTAAGGCTTTTGAAGAGCTGGGTGGTCTCAAACTTCGAAACAACTCGCAAGCTGGGTTGGGTCGTGAATTGAAAAATTTTCTAAGTTAAATCTGCTTTACTGTGCTTAGAGCTGCTCCATAATGCCAACTTTGAAACAACTCACAAGTTGGGTTGGAACAAGAAATGAATCGAAACTTTTTCTAAGTTAAAACTGTTATACGTTGCCTAGAGTTGCTCGTTGATTCCAACTTTGGAACAACTCACAAGCTGGGTAGGGTGAAGACATAGTATGAGGAGATAAAGCAAATGTGAAAGAATGAGATCGAGTGGAGGTGCTAGAGGTCATCTCTACCTCACAAGAAAAGAGCTAAAAGCTCATCTCGACCTACTAGACTTCATCCCGTCTAGATATGACAGAGGAAGAGCTAGAAGCTCATCTCGACCTACTAGACGTCATCCCGTCTAGATATGACAGAGGAAGAGCTAGAAGCTTGTCTCGACCTACTAGACGTCATCCCGTCTAGATATGATAGAGGAAGAGCTAGAAGCTCATCTCGACCTACTAGACGTCATCCCGTCTAGATATGACAGAGGAAGAGCTAGAAGCTCGTCTCGACCTACTAGACGTCATCCCGTCTAGATATGACAGAGGAAGAGCTAAAAGCTCATCTCGACCTACTAGACGTCATCCCGTCTAGATATGACAGAGGAAGAGCTAGAAGCTCATCTCGACCTACTAGGCGTCATCCCGTCTAGATATGACAGAGGAAGAGCTAGAATCTCGTCTCGACCTACTAGACATCATCCCGTCTAGACTTGACAGAGGAAGAGCTAGAAGCTCATCTCGACCTACTAGACGTCATCCCGTCTAGATATGACAGAGGAAGAGCTAGAAGCTCATCTCGACCTGCTAGACTTCATTTCTTCTAGACTTGACAGAGGAGGAGCTAGAAGCTCATCTCG